CAAAGAGTAGTCTTGGGACATCATCACCCCATCCCACATCAGTTATGTGCTTGACCTGTCTTTGAACCCTTGTATGTAGAAACCTCCGTTAACCCTGCATCTGGTACTTACAAGAAAACGGAGAATCCAGGAGCTGAAGTCACAAATAAGATAACAAAATCACCATTGCCCATTCCAGTCTTGAGGTTCATGAGGTGAAACCTCTGAAAGAGAAGGAGGATGACTCTATTGGATATTGGTCTAGAAGCCATTTGTGTTACATTCTGGCAAAGAAGTTGTCTACATTTTGTCCTTGTCCTCAGACTTTTTGTGAGGCTGAATTCAAAGGTGATGAACTAAGTAATCGATTGGAGGAAATTTCAAGGCAGCACAGCATTCAGGTAGTGATCTGGATATTGCTGGCAGCTTTTAGCTACTTTACCATGATAATTGGAAGCAGAAAGCAGAGCAGAAAAACTTGAAAAATTTGCAGTATGATTAGAAAACTGTGGGGCTGGGGTGGTGGCTCAGTGGTAGAGCACCAGCCTAGCATGTGTGAGGCACTGGGTTTGATTCTCAGCACCACATAAAAATAAATAAAATAAAGGTCCACTGACAACTAAAAAATATTTAAAAAGAAAGACAACTGACTAACTAGGTCTAAGGAAAGTGTGTTTATTAAAAGAGATTACAGCCACTAAAGAGGTGCTGTTTTACCTAGAAAGGTAGGAAAGATGGCTTGAGGGCATTTCAAAAATTAGCAAGACCACACCCATTTTAGGCTTAAGGGCATAAAAGTAAACATTCCTTTGAGAAGAGACCATTGAGGTGCCCTGCTTGCTCAGGGAGGCCGAGGAAGTTATTTCACTCTGCTCAGCTGCCCAGGCACTGAAGGCAGCAGCTGTGGTCCAATGAGGTTTGGCCATGGCTCAAGATGGTGACAAACCTTGGCATCAACCATGTGGTTGCAGAATACTGTACTTCGGGTATCATGGAAGTTTCCATTAAGATTTTAAAGAACAACCTAGGAGTGTAAGGCAAAGTGTAGCAGGGTTGGAATTCCTGCAGCAGCCTCTGAGAGGTCAATGTGCAGATGTGAACAGGAAGCCAAAGCTGCAGCGGAGACCCCTGAGATGCCAGTAATGTGGAAAGTCTGCCGAGGCAAGCTGCAGGGATCCAGCAGAGAGGAGCCAAGAGAGAAACCAGGTGGACTGCAACCCGCAGTGCCATATGGCTGGACCGCACAAGCCCGCTAGGGAGGACACCACAGTGTCGTGTGCCCCAGAAGCTGGACATGGAGCTACAGGGCTGGTTTGTCCAGCTGAACTTCAGTCTTGTTCTGGTCCCATCCGTTCCTTCTGTGTCCCTGGTATTCCCTTGTGGAATGGAAATGTCTACTCTGTGTCATATATTGGATGAATATGAATTCCTTTTGATCTTTTAGTCTAACTTGCCTCGAGTCTCATATGAGATTTTGGACTTGTACTTTTGGGCAATGCTAAACTGTTAAGACTATGGGGACTCTTGGAAATGGACTAAATGCATTTCGCATTGTGAGATGGGCATAAGCTTTTGGGGGCCAGAGGCAGAATGTTATGGTTTAGATGTGAGGTATCTCCCAAAACCCCATGTGAGAGAAAATTTAAGAATTTTCAGAGGTGAAATGATTATTTTATGAGGTATAACATAATCAGAGAATTAATCCACTGATATGGACTAATTGGGTGGCAACTGTAGTCCAGGTTGGGTGTAGCTAGAGGAAGAAGGTCACCGAGAAGTGTGCTTTGGAGCTTATGTTTTGTCCCTGGTGAATGGAACGGCTTGCTCTCTCTGCTTCCTGGTGTCATGTCCCGAGATGCTTTCATGCACTATGCTCTTCTGCCATGATGATCTGCCTCACCTTGGGTCCAGAGATATGGGATCAGCCATCTATGAACTGAGACCTCTGAAACCGTCAGCCAGAATAAACTTTTCCTTCTCTAATTGTTCTTGTCAGATCTTTTGGTCACAGGGACACAAAAGATGACTAAAAACAACCTAAACAATATTTTTTTTCCTTTATTAAAGTGAGAACTTTCACTTTTCACTTTAAAGAGGTACTTTACAGCTTCTCTTTAGCATATTTGAATTACCAGCATCACTGCTCCTGCGCTTTGGGTCCATCATTGTTTAAAACAAGGGCTACTGAAATACAAGCACTTTGATGATACTATAATAGTTTGTCTGAGAATAGAGATGGCTACTAAGCAGGCAACCAATGGGTAGCATATACAGTGGATTAATACGGAGGGAGAAGGCATGAGATTTCATCACACTACTCAGAATGACTCCCACCAAGGTTTGCATGTAACTGAGATTGTGGAAAGTGAAACCCACTGAATACCACCAACTCTCCTGGGTCTCCAGCTTGCAGAAGGCAGATCAGGAGTGCTTCCTCTCACCCTCCTCCTGGCTATTCTTGTCCTTCCACCATGATGTCCTGCTCTGTCTTGGGCCCAATTATGGAGTTGGCCAATCATGGACTAAGCCTCTGAAACTGTGAGTGCAAAATAAATCTTTCCTATTCTTAATGAAAAGGAAAGAAAGAGAGACTGGGGTTGTAGCTCAGCAGTAGACCACTAGCCTAGCACATAAAAATAAATAAAATATCCATTGACAACTAAAAGAAAAGAGGTATCATGTTCATCTACAGCTAAAATTTTTAAAAAAGAAAAAAAGTAAGCAGATCAGGAGACTTTCAGCCTCCGCAACCACATGAACAAATGTCTTACAATAAGTCTCTTTCTGGAGAGATGTCTATACTGGCTTGTCCACCTATCCATATCTATCTAGATGGACTGATTGATAGGTTAATAAATAGTAGATCCTACTTCTCTGAGAACTCCAATTTATCCTAACTCTAACTGCCCTGGGTGGACCTGATAGACTCAGTCAGGCCCTGGAAGACTGTGTCCACAAGTCAGAGATTGTACTGCCGGCCCCAAGGATGTGAGCCTCCATGGAATCCACCGATGTAAGGAAACAAACTCTGCCACATGAGCTTGGAAGAGGACCCTGACCTCAGGTGAGACAGAGAGCCTCGGTGACAGGAGCAGACGACATGTATGTGAGGCCAGAGAGGAGAGAAAGGGAGACTGCAGGGGGGACCTAGGAGGAAAGCAAGGTCCATCCAACACATTCAGCATTCAGGCTACAGGACAAGAGTTACCTCCTCAGAAAGGGGTTCCCCAGGGCTGGGGTTGTAGCTCAGTGGTAGAGCATGAGGCCCTGGGTTTGATCCTCAGCACCACATTTAAAAAGTAAATAAATAAAAATAAAGATATTGTGTCTATCTACAACTAAAAAAATTTTTTAAAAGGGCTTCCCCATCTGAAGGAGCCCCACCTGCACCCCCACGTCCATCTCATGGTCCAGTCTTGGCCCCACCGCAGCGCACACCACCTGATGTTTTCTCATTGCTTGTTTGTGGGCACTTCCCCGCTAAGTTCTGCAGGGACAGCGGGTTGCATCCTCAGTCTCTGCACACAGTAGATGTTGAATGATTAAATCCGCCACCACAGACAGTGTTATGAGGGCTGGCATAGGGAAAAGAAACCTGGCCAGCACGTGGAAGTGCAGGTCCTGGATGAAGTCAGCCCTCGGCTGTGGGAGAGTCTCACCAGCTCAGGGCACAGGAGAAGTAACCATAAGTCTGGGCCTAGAACCTTGAGCCTGGTCTCCCAGCACCAGCCAAGTCATTGGCGCCCCTGGTGGCGCATTCCCAGGCCAGCGCCTGGAGTAGCAGCCCTGTGTGTTCCTGCTGGCTGTGGGGACAGGGTTGCCATAGATGTTGCTCTTGGCTCCTGGGGCTGGGGAATGCAAGTCAACTCTGGAGCTGGACTAGCGAAGGCCATGCCTCAGCCACGGTAGCAGCAGCCCCTTCCTGCCCTCCAATCCTCCAGAGACATGGGGGTCCACTTCTCTCAGCCCCTGGCCAAGGGGCCCTGGGTCCTCACCTCTGGGCCTGAGAGGGACAGAGACCATGAGGAACGTTCAGAGCCTAAGAAACAGACACTGAGAGAGAGAGAGAGAGACTGAAACTCAGAGAGCCTCGGTGACAGGAGCAGAGGACATGTATGTGAGGCCAGAGAGGGGAGAAAGGGAGACGGCAGGGGGGCCCTAGGAGGAAAGCAAGGCCAGGGAGACAGAGGGCAGCGCCTGAGAGGGCACCCCGAGGACTGGGGCTCTGAGAACCTGCGAGACAGGGAGGTCCTGGAGGCCCCCAACCAGAGGACATCCTCTCTCCCACCAGCACCAGGAATGCCCTTTGGGGGAACCTGGCCAGTGTTTTCCCCTCGACCCCCCAGCTCAGTGCCCTGCCACGGCCCCTCCCCGTTCCCTCCTGTGTGCGAGTGCTCAGCACCCAGAAGCCAGCCTTCTTGCGAGCTGGAGACCGCGGGGCTCAGTCTCCCCTAAAGACTTGGGCCAGGGGCTGGGGGACATGTGGGGGCGGGTGGCTGATGAGAAGTCTGCGCACACTCAACCTTGGCGTCCCAGCTCCTTTCAGGGGCTGGTCCCCTTCTCTCCACCCACCACCTGTCCCCTCCCCTGACTCCAATTAAGGGTCCTCAACACTAATCGCTGAGGTTGACTTGCTCCTGGCCTGGCCTCCTTAACAAGGCCTTTGTCCCCTTAATTGGCTATCTCCGGGCTCTTTTCTCCGTCCCCCCACCTACCAGCCCTGTCCTATATCCCAGGTCCAACTATGTGCTAATTGGGCACCTGGGGGGCACACAGGAAGCTCCTTGGCTCCCAGCCATTTGCCTTCCTACAGCCGCCCTTCACCCATGCGTCCCTCAAGCCTCACGTCCAGCTCCGGGAAGTAGGGACCATGTTAGGGATCAGAGGGGGCCCTTACCCTAGCTCCCAGGGCTGACCCCAACCTCAGGGCTGCCCTGCCCGGGAGTCCACTGGCCCCTCGAGATTTGGGGAGGGCTTTCCAATCAGCACTACCTGGGGAGTGACTTCAGAGTGCCCTGGCCATGCACCCTGGGGTCCCGGCGGCACTGGGGCTCTCTGAGCCTGGTCCCCGAGAGCTGTGTGCTTTTGTGAGTGGGGCAGCGGCCCACATGCTGCGGGCCCTGCAGCCCAGACGCACCCGGCCACCCAAGAGGAGGCCCAACCACAGGAGGTTCCTGCACAACCAGATCTGCAGGTGGGAGGAGGGGACAGGTGG